CCCCCCCAATCTTAGCATCAATTTTATGTGATGCCCCCCCTCTGGTTTTTCAGCCCTCCTCCTGATAATTATTGCACAGTCCATTAGGAATGTAAGAGCAGAATTTTAATTATGATCAAACCCTGTCCCGGGTTTTGAATTCAGCCCCGCTCTCCCCTGTTTATAATATCAATGCTGAATTCAAAACCTGGGACAGGTTTTTGCATCGAAATTCAAACCCTCATCGAACATTAAAATAGGGCTTGGTTGTTTTATAAGCCAGTTAAAACGTAGCGTTGCAAACAAGTTAGCGAAAACAAAAAAGATTAGTAAAATCCCTATATAATTAAGCTATGAATCAGAGGGAATCAAATCACTGATATCTGTCACGCTAAAACCCTCAAAGCCCTTTGTTACTGACGTGTATGGCGTTGCCTCAGTGTAGTGTCAACAATCCCACTATTGTCGTTCAAAGGTGTTTTAATTATCAATGATTACTAGTCAATATAGAAGTTAATTTTCTGTTCACCAAAGGACAAATAATAAAAAAGAGTTTGACTATTTACTAACAAACGCTTTCATGACTGTGATATTTCTGACAAGGAATTATGGATAAATGTTAGCTTATTTTTTCTATGCAAAACGTTTGAAAAACAATCAGTCAAAATATTGAAATGATTAAAATCACAATTCTTTGACACCAGTACTTAATCAACTGTCTTTTCTGTCATAATTTGTGTAGCTGACCTGTAATGAATAGTCTGAGACAACAGTCCCAAAAGGTCACAACAGAATGATTCAAAATAAGAGAAATTACAAGTCGTCCATTCAATCTACTTATCTAAACACCTCACGCCCCAAACATCCAAACAGCTTACCACTCCAATGTCTCTTCACCCATGCAGGACTAAGAACAAATACATATTTCAGTCTCGACGATTGAATAACCAGTAATTTGAATTCTTATCGTTAGTATTACAAATTTCGTACATCTGTCGACTTCTCTGTCGACTTTATTGCTCTTCGAGTTCGCGATGATAAAGGTTTAGTAATGGCATGGGCTGCCCACTTGTGTCTACTGAGAGCGTCCGATCGACTATACCTCTGTTTGCATCCCGAAATAGCACAAATGAAAACTTTTTTCTCGGACTCTTGTAAATGTGTCTTCTGGTGCTTGTTCAAGTGATCTTTCCGACCAAATGCCTTATGACATGCCTCACATTTATGTGGTCGAAACCCTGTATGAATACGCTTGTGTCTTGTTAACTCTTCGTTGCGCGCAAAGCGCCTATCACATCCCTCATAGTTGCAAATATACGGCTTTTCTCCGGTATGAATTCGCAGATGTCCCTGTAATTGACCGTTATTACTACATCTTACTTCACACAGAGGACATGGGTACTTCTTCTTGCGAGTTTTACAATCCAGCAATGCAGCAGTCGAAGTACTAGTCGCACTGGTTGAAATATCATCCTCGATTTTAATTACAGAAGCAATAGGGCCGGTTTGAGCGATATCATTTGGTTGTTGAAGAATTTGGTGTCGTGTATTAGCCTCAGAGGCTGATTGTTGGTTGAATATAGAAACGCACGTATTCTGAACATCATGAAAACCGATGTGCGGCACATGGGACGATGTAGAAGGAGGTGCCATTGTTAAGCTTGAATAACTCAAGTGTCCCAAACTCTGATTCCATAGAGCTGCTGTAGTAGCAAACTCCGGCTGTAGCAGGATCTGTTGACTCGATGGTAAAGAAGGCGCTTGAAATAGAATCGTTGGTTTAAATACGCGAAATAATCCTAATCCATTCTGCGTGGCCTGCATTGTTTGGCGTTAGATCAATAAACGATGTTCGATTATACGAACTCTATCTGAAGAACAAGCCGTCCTCTGTCTTTAGTCATCAGTGAGAGTGTGTCAACGTTTCGAGTGACAGAGTCAAGGCGGGTCGTTTGTTGACCAATCATTGTCCATATTGCGTCTTGTAGTAAAACGAGATGACAAATTAAGAACGTCCACAGTGGGGCGTGAGATTGGTAAGTTTCGGAAGGACACGGCCACCATGAATGAGCATTTAAACCAATACATTGCTGACAAAAGGTGTTGTACAACTACACTAAACATTTATTCTTCTAGCATAATTTTGCGGCATCCATCAGCTTTTGTAACTAAAGTACGACTAAAGGAAATAGTGTTGTCTCTGTTTTGTTTAAATATTTGTAGTGCGTTATCGTACTAATCTAATAAAAAAACAATGACCACATAATAGGTCAGGATAGCGTCCAAACGGAAAGGCGAGAGAGAGTAAACGCCCCCACAACAGGAAACAATCACATTTAATGTTTTACGCCGGTATACAAACTGCAATGGAAGTAGACATGTCTTAGAGAAGTTGCGACTCTTCGAAAGCAGCAATTTTTAGTACGGTCTCAGTCGAAAGCAGCTAAGTGAAGAAAGATGAAAACGGCGTCGTCCGGATCTTTTCTGTTTCGTGTCTATGCACAACAGGTTGTTAATCATCTGAGTATGCTACACAATCAGTTTGTCTATCAAAATCGTGGAAGTCATCTGTACTCATTTGGTGCCTGTGTGTCTTTTCTATTTTCTATTTCATGTAAAATGTATTAAATGTGCATCCAGCAAAGGTGTTTGGGATCGTATACTAAAGGGGTGTTTTTGGTCCATAATACCCGCCATAATAATAGACAGCCAAAAGTAATCATTTCGTGTTTCATTAATCTTCAGAGGTAATCTTCTAAGGTACGAATGTTTGTTTTCATTAAATCTTGACTAAACTTGGATATGTTTTTAATTGTGTATTAGTTATAGTGACACAATAAACAACATATCTAAGTTTTGCCAATATTATTAAGAACAAACCTTACATTCAACCAACGGATAAACCAAATGCATGACACTGAACAATTCACTTGCATTATAGCATCATTTACTACGTACCGCTACCAGAGTCACTTGCACACCTTCTTTTCTTCAGTTAATTAGCACCAAATGTCTTATTAATCTCTTGAGGAAATAGACATTTGAATAAGAAAGAAAATACGCGAAGCATTTTGGTAGTGGTAGTAACACAAGAACATTGCTTGGGCTTCCTGTGGTACAATCACATGGGTTCAGAACTCGTAAATATTCACTGCGTTACCGCCTCTATTGATACTCTAGCGTGACGAATAATTTGCATCTCAATTACATTCTTTGTTTAGCTCATGCCTTCATTATTGTTGAGATGGTTGCAATGGCTATTTTACTGGGTTTCTTGTCATTGGTTATAGCATATTTACTCTTAAAATTCTTTTCAAGGTCTCACAAATTAAATAATTTCGGTAGTAAGTTTATTTTAATCACCGGTTGTGACTCTGGATTTGGCAGACTTTCTGCCTTGCGCCTTGATCAGCTTGGGTTTCATGTGATTGCTACATGTTTGACTAAAAAGGGTCAAGAAGACTTGCAAAAACTATGTAGCGAGCGAACAACGACTTTTCTTCTTGATGTTACAAGTTCAACCCAAATTCAAGAGCTCTACAGTGCTATAACTCGGTCTTTAATTCCACAAGGAGTTGGTAAGTTCTTCAGTGGAATTATTTAAATTCGCTGATGTTAAGATGACGTTTTATACTTACAGTTCCAGAATTCCAACCCCACACTCATTCACACTCGTGGGKGCTCCCATTCTGAAGAGGCAGGGATCGTCGAAAAAAGTACATTTTAAAATCCAGCTTCAATTTTAGCCCTAAAAGATACAACTTTGAAGGTGTCAGTTATATTGCTGACATTTCAAGCGAATAAAAATTTTAGGGCAACAAATTGAGTACCCCTAAAAGATATCGCACGTGCTACAACCAACAACTCTTTATTTTTCACCCCCCCCCCCCCCCCCCAAAAGGGAGTGACTTACGATTTAACCCCTAAAAGATATTGATAGCTTTCACGGCGGCCATGTTGGAGGAACTTAACAAAAGAATTGTCAATTTGTTAAATGGCCGACGTGTCTTTTGTTATTTAATTCTCTTGGGAATGGTTGAAAACCATCAATATGGGAATAACCCCCTCCCCGAGGAGAACCTTTTCGTTAGCTTTTTCGTTATGCTAATAGCGCAGCGCACTGATTCTAAAAATAGCTTAAAGATTCGGACAAACATTGCATTCTGTTTAACCGCTACGAGGATTATACGAACCGATTTTATTATTTTTACATAAAGTTACAATAATAACCCATGTAAACTAAGTGATCGGCTGTGAAAATTATCTGCTGAAAGTAAACTTGTAAGTTTGTCCGAATTTCGTCTTTGTCTTAGTTTTGTGACGTCACGACTGCGCTGCGCTATTTTCACTATGATCTTGTATTCTCAAAGGACATTTAAATGTGAAGAGATATTTTGAAAAGTATTGTGGTAGTTTAGGCGTGAAACGTCATTGGGGTTAGGGTCTATTTTATAGTATATTATAGTAATATGAAAATTGAGTTACTCGGTACCAATTTCGACACTTCATGTCATTCATTATCTGATTAATAAAAGAACAATATTTAAGTCATTCATGTATCTATTTTTCAGGTCTGTGGGCTTTAATCAACAATGCAGGTATCTTTATTTCTGGCCCGATTGAGTGGCAATCGCTGGACATCTATAAACGGACCGCAGACGTTAATCTTTGGGGAATGATTGATATGACCAAGACCTTTTTACCTCTGATCAAGAAAGCGAAAGGACGAGTGGTTAACTTTTCTAGTGCTGCAGGTACAAATGACATTTATTTGCTACCTTTGATGCAGATTGTCTTCCTTGTACTGCATTCATCATTATTGTACGTCATGTGCAGAGCCTTTTCGTAGGTAGCTCCTTAACCTACGCATGAAAGCCACAAATCCCCAGTTCTRTGAGCCTAAGAAGGGATCATTAGATCATTACATCAAATGTTGATTATATAAATTATATATATAGTGGGGGAAGGCTTGGGGGCTCACCCCGGCCCCCAACGTTTTTAGCCGGAAAAAAAAAAATGTACATATTTAAGAGGAGTATACTTCATATTCTCTTGACGTGTTATGGGTTGCCTGACACTTTGATATGAGTGTAATACATGTTACAATTGTCCCTCAAAATGCTGGAAATTGCATTTCCGACAGGGCTAGTTTAAATTTCAAAAACTTTCAGCCATTTTTTCACTGAGACCTCTCGGATTAGCCACTCGCCTACATTTCGCGGTTCCTATGTATTCGTTGGTTCGAAACGTGTTGTTAGACTGACGATCACCCTTTTCACCAGGGAGAGCGTCGGCAACATTTTCATCGTCATATTGTATCAGTAAGTATGGAGTAGAGGCGTTCTCTGATGCTTTAAGACGGGAGATGAAGCCATGGAATGTGGAGGTGGTTATTATGGAACCCGGTGGCCACAGTACTGACATTCTTAACGTAATGAATAAAAGATGCATGTGGAAGAAACAATGGGATGAATTGAATACAGGAGTTAAGGAGGAGTACGGGGAGGAGTATTTCGATCGAGGTATGTACGTGTCATATGATTGAGTAAACATGTATTTCTTTCGTTCATTGCATGCAATTTCGGGGAATGGTTTTACAAACTTTTCTCACAATTTTTTGATCCCTGATCATGGCCCTGTTCCATTTTACCTTGCCAGATAGTTTTTACAGTGCAAACACTCGAACCATGAACACTTCAAGGTTTTTTTAATATTTTTAATAACTATCAAATCATAGCTCTCTGTAGAAACAAAGGAATCAAACATTTGTAGGCGCCATCCAATCACAACAAACGGCAGAAAATCTTTATATGTTTGATGCGAGCGAAGCGAGGARTAACACTAATTTTGACGGGTATCCTGTTTATACACGAACGAGAGGTACTGGACACGTTAGGTAGAAAAAATCTCGTGTTTGCGATATTGGATTTTTACGTCATCAGTTCAGAAACATGCGCACCCAACACACTTGGGCAACGGTCTGTTTTATTACATTAATGCGCAGGCTCGTGGTCTTTCTTCGTATTCGTGGAACTATATTCGTCAAGGTCATGAACAGTTCAGTTACATTTCTCGGGGGAGGCAATGTTCATTTATGAGTTTTTCGGCACTTTTATGTGCGCAATTCTGTCCTATTCATGAATGGAGTCGTTCTACTATAGCCACTATAGATAACATACTAATCGAAGGTGACAAGATGTATCTAAATGCTTTTGAATGCCATGCAATCCCAGATCAAGAGCATACATCTCTAAACTATTTGCCTAGCAGTACAGTATCTTCGAGCAAAACGTCTTTGAGAACAACAAATTGTTATGCGTTTTGTTACTGTTCAGCGTGGTAATATGGACTGTCAAATACAATAATTAGATCTTATTAACCGAGCGGGAGGTCTGTATGGGATAATCTTGACCGAGGTCGGAATGTACAGATCGAGGTCAAGATTATCCCGTACAGACCGACCAAGCTCGGTTGATAAGAGTTTTATTATATGACCACTTTTCATTGAAAATGACAAAATGTTTTCGCCGTAAGATTAATTTGCGATCGGACTGGTTAATACCGGAGAATCTAGACCGCGATGCGATCTATCCAATCAGATTGCTCGATTTGCTAGTGTTCCAGGCTCTAAGATTCACGGTCATATGATAAAAGATATTACAAATGATCCCAAGACGGTCGCATTTAATTAATAAACACTTACTGAATATTAATGTGTACAAGTAAAAAGCAATCCGACGGCGGGCTCTATGGGTCTATTTTTTCGATGATTTTACGATATCAATATATTTAGCCCATGAAAAATAGAAAAATTAATAGTTACTGTTTTCTCTCACGAGGGAAATAAATCAATTGAAATGTTAAGCTTAGTTTGTTTTATTCCAATTATAATTTCACTTATTGTTATATAAACATTTTACTATTGAAGATATGACAAACTTATATTCTTGCTTTTTATTACTTGTTTCCATGGAAACAAGTTAAAAGAATTTTCCTTTGCAATACCATCTTACTATATTGACTCTCCMATAACACAATATGAAGGAAAAGGACAAATCAATCCCGCCGCAGCACTTCACTTTCAATCTGAAATGACTAGTTTATTTTTAGCTCACTACGCGTGAACTAACTGCTAGACACGTATCAAAACGTGGTAGTATGCAAAACTGTGACAAAGTGCAAACTTTCAATAATTTACAGGAATCGTTCTTTGACAAAGTAACTGTTATAAAATCAAACTTTAACGGCAACAACAACACAAGGGACTTTGGAATCGCACGAAAAAAATGTTGGAACCTCGGTAAGAATCTGGCTTCTGATTGGATGATTCAAAAAAATTTTAAAAGAACTTTAAGTGTTCATGGTTCGAGTATCCACACAGTAAAGTCTGTGAAATAGAATATAAAAATTATCTCTTTTATCTTTTTAGTGTTTGAATCGTTCTGCAAATCAATACGCCATATTTCGAGCGACTTTTCCAAAGTGGTGAGCGCCGTGGAAGACGCCGTGACGTTACAAAGGCCACGTGACCGTTATGTTGTTGGCCTGGATGCTCAGTTTCTATGCGTGTTGTCGATGCTACCTTCATCAATTTCAGATGCCTTTTCCAATGCTATAGTAAACGTCCCTTTGCCTAGGAAATTACAGACTGAATGAAACTTCTCTTTGTTCCCATGTGTAAAGCAAGAAAAAATAATGGATTTATTCCAGATTGGAATCATTTATATTAAATATATGATTGTGAGGTACGCATGCGTGTAATGAGAATTATTTAAACATTTATGTATCCGTCTTTTTAGCCTATTTTGGATTGCCTCTACGATTTTAATTATTTTGATGTCTTGAACTTTTCATGTTAATGAAATAAGTTGTCAAATATAACACTGACTGAAGTTTGGATGTATGTCTTAGTTCAACATGATTAAAACAAACTCGCTGCATGTCGCTTGGGAATGGGTATGGTTTTCAGCGATTCTACTATGGAAAAGAGTATATTCACCATTTTCCATTTATTGGTTCACTGGTCAAACACAATGCGCTCAAGCGAGGCACCAAAGTACTTGCAAAGGATTATTCAAATTTGAACCTTGCAACCTCGACTGAATGCTTTGTTTTTGACCAGTGAACCGATGTATGGATCATTGTGAATAAAATCGCGCTCGCTCTGGGACAGGGTATATAAAATCAAGCTCTCTCCTCTCTGGAACTGGGTATCAATTTTCGCAATACTGGAACAGGGTATGGTTATTAGCGATCTTACTCTACTGGAACAGGGTATGAATTTCAGCGATTTTACTCTGGAACAGGGTCAGGGTTCAGAGGGCTCAGCGGCACATCCCTACCCTAAACGGGCAAGAGTACCCCCCACCCACCACGCCAATTTTTTTTACTTCCAATAGAAACGGCAGAATATATTTTATACGACATTCTTTTAATGATATATTTATTTGCTTATCGATTTTCATTTTTGCTTAACTTAATAATATTGCTATAAGTGCCTATACACAGAAATATATGATACAAACGTGCTTTTTTTATCTTCAAGGCCAAGTGTTGGTAGTTGACGTATTTGAACCAGACATTAAACTAAAACTTGTGTGGTAAAAGTGAACAGTAATGAATAAGAATTAGTCCTCCCAATAGAATAGAATATGTCATAGATTTGCTAATTATAAGACAACATTAATGAATAAATTTTAACCTTAATACCTATATGTCATATTGCTAACATTAACATGTTAACATCACTATTGCTTGGCAAACCCATTGATAATGAACTTCACATAAACCTAGCAAAACACAATAGCAAACTGTAGATGTTATGTGTATTATTTTACAGTCTGACGAGGGAGTAGAATACCATTGCTTCTTTATTTCTTCTGTTTCCTATATCTGTCGATCCAGTCATCAATCATTTGGTTGACAAGAGCTGGTCTTGGTGTAAGTCGTTGTTGTGCTACCAAAATACCACTATCAGTTGTACAGCAGTCTAACCAGTCACGTAAAAGATACTCCTCACTGCCAATCTATAATTATAATTTATTAACTTAATAAATGAAGCAAATATATACATCAATAATGTTTGGTAGTTTCCATACCTGTGCTGCAGAAAGAAAGTGGACAGGCAATAGACGACCCTCATGATCAACCAGTGGCAGGTATGTTATATGAACATTGTCATTACTCTCTACATGAGCATGAGCACCAATATCATTGGTTTTGTCAGTATCCACTTCCATAGCAACCAGTGCTGAGAAATGACCCCTTGTGTAACCAAGGGCAACAGGGTTCTTCCAACAGAAACTTTTTCCCCATAACAATGGAAGATAAACACCTGGAAAAAAGGAATGACAATTTCAACAAGCCACAGCAATGCATATCATGTTTTTAACTCTCTTTTCGTTAAAAGCATTAAAACAAAATTGCCAAGAAATTCCACTTTCAAAGACTACTTTCACTGATCATGAACATGATCCCTTTCTTTTTCTCCTTTATACATCTTTTGATTAACCATTATTACTCTTTCCTATCAATTTTCCATTTCATGACTTATGATTCTTTGCACTATAAAGGACTTATTTCCTTGTATTTTTGAAGTTAAAAGAAAGTGCCTTATCAATAGAGATTTTCACAGTTTGGCCAATAGTTTGTTGATACCTTGGAATCTAGCCAAACCAAGAGTTTCTCCTCTGAAACTCTTGACATACTTGACACCGTAGATGATGATTGGTCGGCGTAGGATATGAGCCAGTGCAAATACATGCGTTTGTTCAAGAGATGTTCCAGGTTGACTAGCTAAGCTAAGTATTGATGCCCAATCTTGTTCCCATTGGTCTTCATCTAGGGTGTACTGTAGTGTCTCTGCTTGTATTGATTCCCATTCCTTGTAACGAGGAAAGAATCTGGAAAAAAAATAAAAAATAAAACACGTCATGCTGATATCTAAGAACTAGAATCTAGATTTTTTTTTAAATATTCTTTTTTCACGGCGGTAGCACTTAATAGCCAGTGGCTATCAAACCTGTGGCCCGCGTTCTGTGATTGAATTGGAATTATTTTAGGAGTTGATTTTTGCAGAGGGAGGAAAACCGGAGAACCCGGAAAACCCTCGAAGCACAGGAGAGAACCAACARACAACTCTACTCATATACGAACCCGAACCCAGCGGGACTTGAGCTCAGGTCACATTGATGAGAGGTGAGCGCTCACACCGCTACGCCACCTGTGCTTCCATTGTATTCAGACAATTTCAATTCGAGACCACTAAAAAATGTATGCTACCTCTCACCATAACATGAAATGAAGTGTGTTGTCATGTGTTGCTCAACGTTTTGTAACATACTTTATTTCACCACATATAACATAGGACATATATAGAGGATATTACACGGGCGCGTTGAGAGCGAGTTGAAAAGATCTCTCACGAGTGAGCGCAGCGAACGAGTTTGAGATTTTCAACACGAGAAGATAAATTTCGTATCTCCAAGAGCCCATATAATATTCTGTTTATCATATAATTATCCATAAAATCAACTTAATAAGCTTTTAATTATTATAAAACGCTTTTATTCATAAACTAATAGATTAATTACACATGGTAACGATATTTTCATATGTGAAAATAACATGTTATTTTCACATGTGAAAATATCAGTTTTTCAAAAAGGAGAAACATATTTTATGGATAATTATATGATAAAACTATTTCTAAAATACTCCTAATTCCTAATACCAAGAACTACGCTGGAAAAGCTTTTGCTGTGTGCCATGCCTTTGTAATAACCTACTAAAATACCTACATTATTTACCATCTTTGGATCGTTTCGAAAGAGAACTGAAGTCTTATTTATTTAACTTATAGACCACATATATGAGCATGTCTATGAATATTATTTGATAATGTACATACATTATTATTTGATTATGTACATACATATCTTGTATGAGTTTTCATTTTTTTATTTTTTGCTATTGTAAGGACATTGAGACCCAGTTGTGATGCCCTAGAACTGTATTATTATGGTGTACTTTATTGATAAAATCTCACTAAATGTATTATTATTATTATTATTATTATTATTATTATTCAATATCATTATTATCATGATGTTTATACTTTATGGTTAGGGCTTTTTTTAAAGAATATTATCTATTTAGTATCAACATTTGAAATTTTTGCAAATAATCTACACTTTGATTAGTTCTTAACAAATTATGACCTTGCATTTAAATAAAAGTTACTATTATTATTAATAAAATTATTATCATTATTATTATTCTATTTTGCATTTGCATTAAGGTTGAAAAAGGAGCATGTTTAAAGATGTTAAAATCTACACACACCTGATGGCCCCTTCACTTAGACTTTCAAACAGAGCTTTTCTTAGAGTATTGTCCTTGTCAAACATGCCATACGTTGCTTGAAGCACAGAGTCAAGTAGACAGTCACCAGCTGAACGGTTCCACAATGGATAAATTCTGCTACTTAGGTGTACTGAAATCTCTTCACTCCAGTTAATGATTGGGGATTCAACTTCCAGTACTAGAAAGAGAACAAGAACCATCATCTTTTTCCATCATTCTGTGTGTGTGTGTGTGTTATATTACTACAATAAAGCATTTGAGTGTGACAATATCAGGGCTAAAAGTAACAGCCAGTTAGTTGCTAGTCATGGTGACTGGTCAATTTAATTTCAGCTTGGTCATACCTCCTTTCTGGCTCAACRTTGCATATGTCAAAATTGCAAAGATTTAAATAGAAGAGATTCAATCAGACATTGTCCTATGACTGGTTGTTATTTTTAGCCCTATATGGCCCTATAATACAAAGATAATCTGTATGGAGATTGTTGTTGCTCCACTAGTAACACTTGTATTCATACAGTTACTATTTCACTTAGCTGCACAATGCTGATTATAACTAAAACCTATAGAAGTGAATCAACTTTGTTAAGAAAAGAAGCCATTTATAATACACATACTGTACCTCTCTGGACATCTTTGTCAAGTAAGTCTTCAAAAAGCTGTCTTTGTAAACGAGCTGGAAATTCTTGAATTTCTATTTGTTGAAAAGCAGAGCAAATAACATGTTAATGAAATTAATATCCAAAAAAAAGTTAGATACATAGATACGCTTTATTTACTGAGAGAATCTATTATTATAGGGAAAAAACTTTACTCTTCCTAATGACCCTAAGGTTCAATACTGATAGTGCAAATTTGGCATTAATAATATTAACTAGTAGACTGCATGTCCATCATACTGATACTAAGGTCTACTTGTGATAAATCATCAACTACTGTTGTAATTAAATCAAGACTTTTAAATTTAAGAAAATCATATCTCAATTTTTAAACATTTTCTAGGTTAAGCCAATGTTTATAGAATTTTTTACTTTGTATACCCAGATATTCAATTGTTGTTATGGAAAAATTACTACTAAGATTGTCCTCTAGAACTAATAAACCCAGGGTAGTGGGGATACTCCCATGTAACAAAGGGCAGGATGGTCATCATATTTTTTGAGGGTTGAATTATAAGCCACTCCCTTTTTTAGGGTTGAAAAAGGAATAACTCTTGTTTCCATTTTTGTTTCCATTTCTTTTGTCTTATTCTATCATATATACACTCCTTTCTACCACTTCTTTCTCTTTTACTCCGACGAAGGACTAGCGTCCGAAACGTCAGTAAGTTTTTTCAGTGTATAATTTACCTTTTCATCATTACTGTTTCATTAGAAACACCGACGCAGCTCACACTAGTTTTTAGCTAGTTATATCTTTCCATTTTTAAATGTTTAATCTTTTATTTTGAAGTGGTATATTTTAGGGCTAAAATTAAAACAATGGTCAAACTCTTAAAACAATGGCCAAACTCTTTGTTCTGGGGTTAAATTAACCAATTTTCTCCAGTTTTCCGTGGTATGTCCTCTTATTTACCATGACTTTCGTCATCTACCATCAAAAATTATGTTGTGGAGAGGTATAGCCGAGGGAGTCCACAATATATTTTGATGGCTAGATGATGAAAAAAGTGGTAAATAAGAGAACATACCATGGAAAAATGGAGAAAATGGGTTTTTTAACACAAAAATGTTTAAAAATTTAACTACAAAAACAAGGGTAAGATTTGAAAGAAAAATGGGGTCTCAAGCACATGTGTGATTTGCTGACTTAATTTATTGGTATTAACTTCTATTTCTAGACTAATCAGAAAGCAAGGAAATTCACAATAGTGGAAAAATTTATTTTTTCCAAGATCATCTCTATCCTTTTTGACGTGGGAGTACCCCATACTCCCTTTTTACAATAAAATACTGTACAATACTGTCACTGTTTAATAAGAAAAGTTACAGGAAGAAATATCATCCACAAAACAAGGTTTCCAAACAATGTTTGTTCTTGTGGTAGGCTAAAGTAAGACCTGTAATTAAAAAATTTTACTAACCTGCTGGTAGTACAAAAGTCACTTGCTCAGTAAAGAAATAACAAGGCCAATCTCCTTTTCTCTGTCTCAAGGTATGTGCTATATCTTTCCTTACATCTGCTGCTAGCTCTGGACTTACTAAGCATGGTACACAGTGTAAACGGTGATTACCAACTTCAGATACCAGGAGATATGCAAGTAGCTCTTCCCTCTTGAATTTAATAGCCAAGTGTACTAAAGTGTATCCCACTTCAAATGYTTCAGGTCTGTTCAAGACAAGGCACTCCTCCCTTGTTAGCTGCCTAGTACGGTCATTCCCTGAATTCAAGTATGTCTCTACTGATGTTGCATCCCCTTCAACTATCCCAATACAGGCACTCAACCACATCCAATCCTTATCAGTCAGCCTGTTTCGAATTTGCAACACTTCCTCATTGTCATTGACATCTTCATTGGCAGGAATATCATATATAATCTTTCCCACATCTTGATTAGCTGGCTGAAGAGCTAGGGACATATCACTAACTGATGATGTGGGAGACCTACGTCTAGAAGATACTCCATTATTGTTTTTGGAAATACAAGTCTCATCAGATTTGGTTTTGATTAGTGCTTTCATAGTATGACAAATGACACAACGAGTGGTTTTCGGCCAGTTTTGATAGGTACATTTCGGGCATTCCCACTTCATTAGTGCTTTATGTTGGGCTTTGTTTTTATCATTGTTTAAAGATTTCAAATCTACCTTCGATCCCGAACGGCTTGTCTTAGGAGAAACTGCTCTCGYTCTTTCATCTTTACTGTTCGAAGCTTCAGGTTGAATAGCATTTTTGTGATATTTAGAAATAGCTGATTGACACATAGCGCAGTGGAGAGAACTCGGCCAGTTGTCAAACGTACAAGCAGAACATTTCCATTTTACAATTTCTTGATCACTATGTTTGTATCTCGGTGAGGTTTTGTCTGCGTTACTTGGAGTACGGCTATTCCTAGCATTAACTCTTTCGTTATCAGCAGCTTGATAGATATCTTGGACAATTCCACCAGATCTGTTCGGTTGAGGACAGATCACATGTGCAGGTCGTTTGGCTAAACAAAGAGCACATTTCATGGCTGATGGCCAGTTTTCGTATGTGCAATATTCACAGGGCCATTTGAGGTTTTGCTCATTTTTTGGCATTTCTAAATATTTAGTTTAACAATAAAGAAAGTCCTAAATAATAAAGTAGACGTTATCTATACCCAAAGTTTGCGCGGGTATGAGATGTGAAGCTCCAGCAATGCCGTTCACAGCTTTTCTTGCTTGGTTTATTCGCCTTCGACGTTCTCCGATAATTCCGACGTAAAAAAACTCTCTCCTGCCCTAATTCTTGGCCCAACTTGTATCCTAAATATCCTTTCACTTTCATGGATGTATTAGTTATGTTCCAGAATCTTTAGTAGCGATATACATGTGTATTTTAACGAGGAAATATGACAATACGAAATCTGTAATCCATTCAAAACACTTCGGTCGCCATGTTGTTTTGAAAGCGAAAACCAATACATGTGACGTCATCAAACATTCCAAATATACATGTAGATCCCATTCCCTCTCGTCCAAGTGGCCAGCGGTTACTGCCATGAAGACAGCATGGAATCATCACAGCAGCATCACAGCAGCATCACAACATGTCATAAATAATGTGGATAATGATGAAAAAAACAGCTTTAATTTCAAGTGTTACGAGTTTGGGCTTTGTGAAAGATCTCATTTTGTCAGGTTTGTGTCCTTGACATTCATAACAGAAAATAGTTTATACGAAGTGATAAGTGAGGAGAAGTATCCAACATGGAGGTTTAAGTTTTGTTGAGCAAGAAACAAGCCTCCTATAAATGAAGTGTTAATTCTTTACTGGACGGGGTGGGGGATTTACTTTGACTTTACAATAGAAAATAGAATAGAAATGTTGTTCTTATTTGCAGGGCAAGGTCCAAACTTGAGTATATATCATACAGTTAGTGGGGAAAAGATTCTCTCTGATCATGTCTTAGGGAATTCCAGAATTCATGTTATTAAAGGTAAATTCACAGGTAGCCCAAGCTTGGTTTCTGTGGTGTCCTGTTATAAGGAAATGTATGGGGAATCATCAAGAATTTCAATAAAATCATCA